CCCCCCCCATTGATTGTATAGCCGACACAGATGATCGATCATAATGACTTAACAATAAGAAATTAAATAGAAAATTTCAAATATTACATGGGCTTCAACTTCCTTTCGTCGTTGATATCTAATTGTTAGGATATATTTCATTTTGGTATTTCTATAATGCATAAAATTGGTGACAAAAATCTAATATACAAACTTATCTTTTATGTATCACACAGGAATGTATTTTATTGACCGGTACCATAATTAGGTAGGAGCTGACGTCAAACCACACCTTGACACAGCCAAATATTGTGATACGAGCCTGGGCCAAGTGCTATCGCGACAATTTAAGTCCCACATGAATAAAAGCCGACGCCGCGATCAATTTTACTTGCCGCCTCATTATTTTTCGACAAATTTCATGCGAACTCCGAAACGAACCATGAAAATTATATTTTTAATTATTTTTGTCGCGATGTTTTAATCTCATCGTTAATATGGAAATGGCACATATTCGTTTAAATCATTTATATAAAATTGTTTATACAAAAAAAAAAAACATTTACCTATAGCTTTTTAATGCCGATATCTTTACAAGTAAATCAACAACGTCCTGTCTACCAAAATTTCAATTAGTACGACTAATCTTAGAATCTCACCTAACCTTAAATGGAAATTTATCTTGTGATGTGTAAAAGAATATACTTCAGAAATTCATTCATTTAGAGTGTTTGCTATTGCTATGCGTTAAATAATATAGATCGGAATTTACCATTAGACGATAGAGCTCGACTTTCTCTAGATAATAACCAGTCTAGTATATTCGCCTACAAGTCATTTACAAACGCAATGTAGCACGGCCTCCCACGAGATGCGAGCTGGTGCGATGACCTTTGCAAGCAGACCATCACTACAGGATCGCATACAAGCGATCTTATCGTTTAAATTAAATCAATCATTAATGTTAGAAATAATAGTAGAATCGGTTGTACATTTTTTTTATTGTGCAAATCAATATGACAAAATAGACTTTTGTACGATTTTTTCATAGGATGAATAAGCATATAAATTTTATTAATCGATACTTTTATACATCTCTCGATGTTTTTAACTGACTCAAAAAATATCTCGTGTTTAAAAAATTCCACCAAGCTTTATAAAAGTGCGATAAATTAAAAGGTACTATTTTTTGTTACAGTTTGTCAGAGTTATTAAATATTTTTAGGTCTATATTAATGACCATGTCAATATTTCTTGATTAAAGTATTGTTTGTTTAATTAGTGCATTACACCTATTCAGTATTCTCTCAACTGTTAAGAGTGCACTAATCATTTGGCTGGATAATAATTCCTCTGGTTTTACATACTTATCATTAATTACGTATATTTAAGTAAGAACTGTTGCAATTGCATAATATGTTATGTTTTTTAAAAGGGCTGTGGTATTTGTATATTATTATTTTACTTGCATCTTTAATGTATTAATTTAAACTTCAGTTGTTTTCGATTACCAGCAGTTAGCATAATATACTGTTTGTAATTTTAAGGAGCATTACATTTTATTCCCGTTTAAAACGTATGTTTGGCAAAGTTATCCGCTGATCGTGTCCTCGGACGGGTCACGCGAACGCAAACCCGTTCCGCGCGCACTTTCACCGCCCCGCCTGCGCCCGCGCCCGTGCCGCCCACACCCTCCCCGCGCCCCTCCCCCCGTAAACCGGCACCACCAGCCTATAGCGCCACTTGCAATATTGCATCTGTTCGCCAAATTATTAATTTTACCTTCCTGTCACGCTCAAGATACACAAAAAACTACATAATTAGCGAACCCCCATAAATATCAAACGTTAGTGTGGTTGTACCCTTTTCCTGCTCCGTTAATATCCGATTAAATTAAACCCTTGCATTATAAAAGCTGTATCGGGTCGTGTCAGATTTCGGTTGGCATAAAGTTATTTGGAATATTAAAACTATGTAAAATATAATATCCATATTAGCAAGAAAAGTTAAAAGTATTAAGAGAGGAAGTGAGTATCATGATCATCGACTACATCTGGATCGGAACGATGAACACATTGACTGGCTAAAACTAGACAATCGACGGGGCGGGCGGAAGTGTGGCAGTGGCGAAAAGCTCGCAACTGCACGAGGAGAAAGGAAGCGGCGCGCCGCGCGGCGTGATAAGGCCGGGGTGGCGCGGGTCGTGCGGGGCGCCGGCGAGCGCAGGGGGCCTGCGCGCGCACCCGCTCCCCGCGCCGCGCCGCGCGCCTCCCGTCAGTCGCCCGCCGACTCCGCTTGTGCTTGTGTGACTCGCGCTGCTCTGTGCACCGCACTCGTGCTCCGAACACGACGCGTGCCGCCCCGCTGTGGCCGCGAACCGCGACCTCTACCTTACCGGCGAAACGTTTCTCCCGACTTTCGTGTGACTTGCTATGATTTGACTTTCGAACGTTTACGCTCCCTTACCCGGCTTGTTTACCCGCTCACCATGTAAGTGATACGCTCATTCTATTAGATGCGACCAGTTTCCGTTGTCGATTTCGGAACTCGCGTTTAAAGTGCTCCGTGAAAGTTTTTGTGAGATTAAAACTAGTGATATTTTTCGACCGACAATCGGCAGCGATCTTTTCTGGCGGTGATCATCGTTCCTGCACGGAGTCGATTCGTGAGCGATTTCCGAAATTCGACGCAGAAGGTTTATGAAAAGCCGAAGACCGGAGCGACGGCGTGAACCAGTGGTGATGTCCCGGCGACTGTCGCTCCGGTCAGCACCCGCATGAGAGCTTTCGTCTCTGCGGGGCCGCCGGCTGCATCAGTATTCTCGCATGAGACCGCTATGCTTAAATGAAAATTGCCACTAACATTATAGAAAAATCCAGCCTAGTAGATATACTTCCAATTCTTACTTCTGACAAAAAAAAATCTTTTCCTGGTTTTTCAAAGTACATTTTTATTTTTCTCTCTTTAATTTTTCACATTATTAAAACAAGTATAATTACTACTTCGTACAAAAGTTCAATTTCACGTAAGTAAATAACTGTAATATCTGTATTATTAATTGAAAAACGTAAGCTTACTTCTTTCATCTAATAATATATCATAGATACCCAAATTTTACAATGCAAACACTTTCAAAAGTAGGTAGTCAAAGTTTTATCTCGTCGTTCCTAGTCTGAGATAAGTTGTCTTAATCTCGACATTGTTATCAGACCAGATTTAAAAGTATTTTGCCGATATTTCGTAACTTGAAATAAAAGCAACTAACGAATAACATTAATACATATATTTTTTACGCCAAGTACAAAATCTACAATAATATAACAAAAAAGTTAAAATCATAGCGAACTTTGCCAAAACTGGCATATTCGAACAAGTTGCTAATGTTATTGTAAAATTAACACTGTTAGTTAGAAAATCTAAAAACAAAATTCTTTTCGAAGGTAAAAATAACTTCTTAGATACTCTTATGCAAAGAAATTCAATTTTAATTGCTCTCAACACTATATTTCTATACATTATTAACTGTAACAAAACATTCTTTGTCTTTAAAAAATGCCTTAACTGAACTAATTTTTAGAAGGAAAACCCAATTACATAGCTTCCTACTAAAAATAGAATTATCTGAGTTGTAATTCCCATAGAATTAAATAAAACTCATAGAATTAATGCAACATATCAAAAACAGAATAACTGTTTTAGTAGCCGCATAAAGATAAATATTAATCCTTTCCGGATGCTGTTAATTTTACTGTAACAAATTTGTTGATAATGACACGACACATTGATAAACATAGTTTTATGCAGATTTTAATAAAAATTGGTACATCACTACTCCTGTCTCGTATATTGAATTACATGCATTAATTAGTTTAAAACTTCTACTCGGTGTAAAAAAAACACGAATTTTGTTTTTACCATTGCTTAATCTGTCACGTCAATTTTAACATAATAAAATTAATCTAAAAGAAAGCTTTACTATAATATTAAACAATAGCTAACTTCGCAATGATATTGTTAATTTAATACAAGTCGAATATTATTATGAACAGCCCTAGGGGTGTGCTGAACGAGCGCGCAAAAATGTATGTAATGTTAGCTTAGCTTGGTCGTGTGTTAATTTTTAAAGCGGCCGGTGTATTGGTTCAGTGGAGGTCCACAATGGCGCGGTTGCAACGTTTCCACGAAGGCAACAGCTGGGCTCCGCTACCTGCTCCCGACAATAAAACTTCTGTCAATAGAGCACTCGGTCCGCTGTATTATTATTGTACTATTTTATTAATTTTAAATTGAGCTGCGAAACATAGACGGATCTATAATATAATTGTTTAACTAATGTAGTTCCGTATATCTTATACCAATTGGACGTTAAAATCATCTAAACGTCTACATTTCGCAGATATTACGATATTTCAGTTTCTCAGAAAGATACAGTGATGAGATATTCTGTAATATGGATAGGTTACGTGATAAGATTTTGAATATAGCAATTTTAGCTTAAAATTACAGTTTGTCTATGGTTGTTTTATTTAGTCTGAATTAGAAAATGCCATTTTAATTTTAGTTGACTTACAAAATCCATGTCACTGAGAACGAAAAAGTACGGGCTTTTATGATTGAAGTAGAAACAAAAGACAATATAAAAAAGACAAAACAGAGAAAAAGCAGTAAAACATAATAATAATAATCTAGAAGCTAGAGTTAATCTAAAAACTGTAAGCTTATTCATATCTCCTAGTATTTTTCCTAAGATTCTGCAAACGCATCTCTTAATGTAGGTACAGAAAGTATCGTGCGCATAACGGCAGGTTGTTTAAACACAACGTTCAGTAAAGAATAACATGGCGGTTGAACGTTTCGTAGAATTAATTATCTTATCAGCGAGTATACGGATGTGACACAGGCGAAGTTGCACCAGATTACGTGGCCAAATTAATCATTGATAAGATAACCGGTGGCTTAAAAATTCGCTGGTCCCTCACAAACTCGATTTTCTTTCGTACCTACGTACTATATTACAAGTTATACCATTATCGCCTTTTGCCCGGAGTCATGATTTTTTATTACTTATCAGATAAGCGTTTGTATACGCTAGCTCCATTAGGGCGCGTTTCATGCGTTTTGCATTCCCTCCGTTTGTTGTGTTTTTATGTATTGTCGATAGGATCAATGACGCGGGTCCCATCGCGCCGCTCGATAAGGCGCACATTAACGGCCGTGCTGCAACGATAGTGTAATTTGCGCCTCGTAAATTCGAAGCCGTCGCAAATTTTTCGCCTGTGCAGCGCTAATTAGCAGTCGGCCGGCGTCCCCGGAGTCTGCTAAATGCTCCTCGCGCACGCCCCGAATGCGTTAGCAGCACTAGTTACGATGTGCCGCTCGTGCTGACGATGCCCTTTGTTTTGACCGCCGGAACTGACCTACGTGCTCACCTAATCATTCGCTTAATTGCAATGCCCAGATTATTAGATTGTCTTTTTCTATTATTATTTTTAATTTATATAGACCTCCCCGGGCGCAACATCGCTTTGCCATTCATTGTGTTGTCGAGTAGCGAGATAGCGACTTATTTAATGAAACAATATAGTATCGGTTTTTGTTACGATTGTTTAAGATTTAATCGTGCAAGCGAATAGAAAACTAAAATCATTTTATCACTATAAAAGTTTAATACAAGCCGTCATAATAATTATTTATTTTAAAATTTAACCCGTTGTAACAGTTCGGTTATATAGAGATACTAGTAGTAATAGTTGAAGCTAATCAAAGTTTCCTTAACATTTCTTACCAGCTTAACACTCTCTATAAATAGGTAATTTTAGAGGAGCCAAAGAAAAATGTAATTTTTAACAAAAATAGTAAGTGTCGTTCTCATAATGTTACTGCTTCCAATATTTCTTTTTTTTTTCTCCCTGCCAGTCTGAGTCAAACAACCACAGTCTGCCAACGCATACGGCGGCGTGCGCAGAATAAAGAATCGTATAAAATCGGGTGACATCACTTGCGACTCACACTCACAACACGCGTCGCGACGTCCGTCGCGTTAAACAATTTTATACCGTCTAACAAAGTTTTACGAACCATAATCCATTGTGTTCCTTTACCTTAAATTTGTCCCTGAACATTAATACAAACATGAGCCGAATTGACAGAAATATCAGTCATAAAAGTTTAATTTACCTTATGAATTTTGTACATCGCGTTCCAACTGCTTTGCGCGAATTTTATTCAAAATTTAACAGGATAAATGAGTATGCCAACATTATGAACATTTACTTATTGTACAATAATTACATCGCAAAATTAATACTTCCACTCGGTATTTTCCTCTAGTAGTATATGTATGTTTTAGCAGAGTGCTAATTATAATTATCTGCCACTATTTGAATTCCCTGAGGCTCGTTAAAATTCAACGCGGCCAGTTGGCACCCTTAAAGAGTGACGTATTCTGAGACAAGTGATATTATATGGTAATCGTTTCGAATGTATGCAAATGGACAATTGAACCAAATGCGGCGGAGCGTCGCAGTGCTATGTCCAATAGACCATGGTGGTGGTTTTTGCTCCGTCGTCTGCGGCCGAGCGCGCCAGCCAAGGTCGACTTTGGATCGTCGGCGGCGCGGCGCCCGGCTTGCCGTTGCCGTCGATCAATTCATGCCGGTCGCCGCTTACAATTTTTTATCGAATTGCCCCGTTTGATTGCTGTGACGATAAACCTGCCCCGAGATAACAAAAGGAAATTCGCCTCGGCCTCCATTCTTTTAGACACGACAAAAAACAATTAACTACTTATATAACGTGCCCAGTAGACATGACATTCGAAACTTGGCTAGTCAAACATTTTTATAGGTTTCAGAATTTCGTAAATTACAATTATGTTAATAAATTTTATTTGCGAATTATATATTATATTTAGCTTAAGTAAATAAACTGGAAAGATAAAACTGGCCGTTTATGAAGCTTTGCCTTGTCTATTTTCGATTTCAGCATTTTAATTGCATTTTTTTGCTTCTTGCAAGGTAAATTAGAGTTCTGTATTTTTTATAACTTAAACAATACTACATATATTTTTATAACGTTAGATAACAATATTTAGATTAATATGTAAATTCGATGTCATAATGAATCCTCAAGAACGTGTTACTTCGTATTTTGTTACTGATTAATTAATTAACATAATTTTGTTTCTAACATGTAATGCGTTTCTTGTGTATTATTAATATAGATAACAATATCTACGCAGGGAAAATCAATCTTATTTTTTATTAACATTAACGTTTATCTTCATGTATATAGACGTGGGCTTGTATAAAAGAAAAACCAATAAAAAAAGGACTTTTTAAAGATAACGAGACCTATGATATTGGACAGTTGGTAGACGTACGGTAATGTCATCCTTTCATAAAACATTGTAAATAAGAAATTTATATGCCTAGTATTGTACAAACTTAAATGTTAAAACTTTACTTCAAAATGTTAAAGATGTTACAAATTGTAACGTTTTAATAGCCACTTAAAGCGGGACAAGGTCTGTGTGACTTTTTGCATAGTACAAACAACTTATTTATATGAATACACGAAATGTCTCGACTGGCTTTAATACCAGGTAAAGAACTAACCAATATGTTAATTGAAGTCATAGCAACTCAGTAACACGGCTAACGAGATTGGCTACATCACCGTCGCGCCGATGGCAACAATGCTCCAGCAAATGTCAAGTAAAGTTCAGCGCGAGATGGCGCAGCGCAGACGGACGCGAGGCGCACTCGACTTTGCCAACATGCCGATACCGAATTAACATAATTAGACAATTTCTTGAGTTTATTATATTCAATTACGTAATGCATTAATAAGTAATAAATGTAAATATAGTCAAGTTCTTTTAAACACTTAATAGTATGTAGACACGTGACGTTTAAGGCGAGCTCCTCGCATTCTGATGTCTTGATAGCTCAGTGGTCAGAGCGCCCTCCGCGGTGGTGGGAGGCCCAGGTTCGATCCCCGGTCAAGACCCCGGATGCGGGCGAGTGGCTCGTTTGTATTCGGAAAATAATAACCCGTCGATGTTAAAACACTCGACCGCGCGCTGTTCGTGAAATATCTATTAAACTGTGCACAATAAATTCGTGGATGGCAACTTGATCGAATCGCCGATCACAAAAGCCCGACCCGAGTGTTTTTTCTCTCTCCCTTACCCACCCTTTCGTCCGACCGCTCTCAAGAGATTCTTATTTAGATTCGCTTCCGTCTGATTGCTCTTGGTAATCTTTTCACTGGGTTATTGAATGTTATCCAGCTTCGTGTGTACGAGACGTAGGCCCTAGACGTAGGCTGACGACATCGCTAGACATCATCTACTAACATCCAATTCCATTTCACTTCGATATCATTGTATTATTACTACACTTATCTTATACTAATGCTGAAATGTATTTAGTAAACTCAATTAATAACTTAGGTAAGCCTTTATTATATATATTTTTTAATATGGATATAGTATGATACGCTCTAGTGTTGGTATATATTAATAGCTGAAAGTAAAATTAACTATTCACTATATTTGCTAGATAATTTTTATCCAATAACCGATTATTACCGTTTTGGTTTTGTTTGTGCAAAGTTTCGTTATATGTTTGGCACACAACAACGATGTACAAAGGTATTTATTTATAATACGATTTTCCTTTGAGCCATTCACTGGTGTTTTCCTGTTTATATTTCTTCTAATGCATTATTCCCTCTATTACTACTTTTCATACTGTAAGCCAACTTATTAAGACAATTTTGTCCGATTTTATAGATTCGACATAAATCGGGCTATGAAAATATTATAAGATTTTGTATTTGGTTTAATTAATCAATTAATTCATCTAATCTAAAAATCTTACACTTTATTAGCATAAATACAACAGACATTTTAAAATAATAAAAGTAAAGTAACAGGTGTAAATGAAAACAATTAAAAAACGGCATTATTACAACACCTGTCATCACCAGCTTATTTGAATAATAACGAAATCGTTTTAGCCTACTTTATGGCGGAGAATAAACATATTTGTCCATTTAAAATTTATAACCTGTTAGTGAAACACCAAAGCTAGCTCCCCTGGGATAAGTCTTGGCCCCTAGTAACAACAGAACAGAAAAAATGTTATTGCATCCATATCGAAAATAAAATGTGAAGATTTATGCAGGTCGAGAAAGAGCGTCGCTGCGTTGCCGCGCACCAGGCTATTTTCAACTGGGTTATGCTTTAAATAGCACATTACGATAGGATTTGGTTTCACGAATTTTTCCCTGTTCCCGGCCCCCGGACCGTCGCGATCCGCCCGCCAGCGCCCACACAAACAATTTTTCCGCGAGATTATTCCTCGACTCGATGCTATTACTATGTATTATAAGCCACCTACGTGATGTATCATATTTTTCGAATAACAGTCGCAGAAAGTGGGTCATATCAAATAGGACTAATGTAATCTTTATTGTAATCTTTGTTATGTAAACATTTGTCAGGCCGTTACGAAGGAAAGTGCTAGTATAAACTTAAGCGACCCCACAACGCACCTGTCTGTCCATTGCCTAAACTGTAGGAAACCAATTGTAAACTGCTCAATGTTCCTAAGTAATAGCTGCATTTCTACGGAAAGTTAAACATGACAACGAAGGCAAACCAACAATAGGAGCATAGTAGCTTAATTAGTCTCGCTCTGAAATCACTATGCAAAGTGTACGTTGACATGTTCATTAATAGCAAGGCGGTAACTTCCCTAATTATTACTGAGACGCTTCGTATTTGGAGTTTAATTCCTTATAATCCTTTAATGGGTACACTGAATGACAGGTAAAAGTAGTGAAATGAATATTCTAATGCACTTCGATTATATCTACCCTGTCGCGCGCTGTACTGTACTGTAAATTCACACAAAGCTATCGCTCGCAAATAACCCATGCGAGAAAAACACGGCTCAAGACCCGTGAGCGGCCGCTGCCACCAGCTTCCTAACCCGGCAGCCGCTTCAGCTTGGCTCCGGGGCCGTCCGCCCCGAGACTAACCAGTGTGTTTTATTGTTCGCAGAGTTGAGCCGTACCGCATCACGGCTTACCTGCCGCCGCCGAGCCGCTAACCCCGCTTGCCGCGCCCCGCGCCCCGCACTTCGGCCGCCGCCATGCTCGCGCACCACACACCGCTCGCCCTCCACTAAACACGACCGCGACCCTCGACATCGACATACACATCGATACCGTACCGACGCGTGTGATAATCATTTAATACTTGTCTAAATAAGCTTGCAAAGTCGGTGTCCAGTTCTAACTCGACTAAATATATTACTAAGTACTTTTGGTGCGGAGCGCGTTTCTTCCGAAGCGGTTCTCGTCCTCGTACTCAGTGAGTGCCGCTGCAGTCCACGGCGCACCGCAGCGTTACCGGCCCGGAAGTGTATGCCCGGAGCGCCGGGCGCACTCATACCGCGGCTTATGCGCCGCGCCCACTCGGTGTAACTGAGTGTGCGACCCCCGCTCGCCGACTCCGACCGCAGAGGCAACGATGGCAACCATGGTGAACATGAATAACCTCCTTAATGGCAAAGACTCACGTTGGCTACAGCTCGAAGTGTGCCGCGAGTTCCAAAGGAATAAGTGCTCGCGGCCCGACACCGAGTGCAAGTTTGCTCACCCTCCGGCCACCGTCGAAGTGCAGAACGGAAGAGTTACCGCCTGCTACGATAGCATTAAGGTGAGTGTCCATATACAGTTTTTCAAAATGTATTAACATGTATTACATTTCAAGCTAGATGACAACCCTAATGAAAATGTTTCGCCGCCATTTTATACGCCGATCTTTGTTCCAAGGCTGGTTTAAATGACGTCATTCGCGCCACTGTGTCACCGCAGTCGAACATTGTATGGGAATTGGCATCGCGCTAACATAATGAGGCAGGACGATGACTCGACGACGCCTTCATTCGAAGCACATCTAGACGGGTTCATTTAAAAACTCACTAGTTACTTAATTAGAGACCTTTTCATATTTAGAATTTTGTATTTTTCATCCGTGTAATTTTTAATGAGATCATATACCTTATTTACCACATTTGTCATTCACAACATTCGTTACATTTTCAGTAAAGATTTGTGTGAATAGTGTAATGTGGCGTACAGTACGTGTGGCTGTTAGTTGTAGTATTATGTGATACGGCGTTATCGGGGCGAAGAGCAGCGTGATATTATTGTGTAGGTATTTCGGCCAAACATAGCGCGATAAAAATTAAAATCGACATGTAAACACGCACCTCTGCCATTGCATCGCCCGAAGCTGAAACTGATAAGGCAGTCGGCGGCCATACCAAATATTGGAAAAAATACTGTTAAATTTCGTAACAAGTGCACTTGTTTATTCGTTTTTGTCAAATTGCATCATTCAAATTGTTTTACATTTATTGCACTTTGCACTATATTTAGACTGATTGTTTAAAATCAATTACATAAATTCGTATCGTAGTGCCGACAAAGAAATTCTATTATATTATTTTGTTTTTAATCATTTTTTTAAATGTACTTTGCTGCTCGGTTGAATAATGCGATCTATAGATAAAACATACGAGGATCCGAGTAGGCTCTGTAAAGGTTTCCACTGTGAAAGACGGCACGTCTGTTGACGACGGTCGTTACATTCAATGCGACCGCTGCGTCCCTGTCGCGCGTGTTGCCTCGGGGTAACGTACTGTCACCAGCCGATGACGGAGATTCCATTTAATGTCTCTTTGTTGCATCAGTGCAACATTTGATGTATCTAACAATTGTATTTTGGAACAGAAAATATCATTGTTATTACTCCTTACATAGTAAATGCAGAATCTGAAAGATGACAACAGTTGACAATGTTACTAGTTGACGTAAAAAATTATGACCTTCAAATGACGAAACAAACTAATAAAAATTAAGTAATCAACGAGCACATTCTATGCGAAGTTATCTTTATCTACGTACTTGTGAATTACGTAGATATGGTAGACTGGTCGTAAATGAAATTTCTTCATTCTGCGAGGAATCTAGGATAGGCAGGGTGGGGTAGTGGGCGTCGTATTGTGTGAACTATAGGTGCTATCAGTTTTGCTCAGACATGTGTGAAGATCGTTGTGGTAATTCGCTTAAAACCGGGCATCATGTATAGTCCGAGACGTTAAACAATGGGCTAGCGTGCATTGTGCGGCCTTTGTGCACCGGAGTACCGCACATTCCATACAATGACGTTGCCGCCTCGCCGCTGCGCTGCCGCGGCCGCCGCGATCTTATCTACTCTTTGAGAGCATCTCCTCACTCTTGTTGCTTATTGGGTCTTGAATCTGCAAGACAATCTACTGTCCCTCTTTGTCACACACGAAGCACGTCTTTCATTCATATGGTTGCTAATATTATGTAACTTAAATGGCAAACATATTACTTGCCTTATTTGATTATTTTTCTTATTCATCCTAAAACACCTATCCATATTTTTACTTAAATTATCCTAGTAATAATAATTCTTAACATGCTAACTAGCATACCGAGTGATAAGCGCGTTTTTTATGATAAAATTAATAATCTGACCTTCGGAACTTGGATAAAACAAAACTGCTTTTTTATTAAAATTATGTTAAATTATCTGCTTTATCATTTTAAATAACAATGCAGACATTTATTAATTTGCAAGTTAAATTCACTGGATACAATAATATTGGATAATACAGTTTCTATAATTAATTATATTTTTTAATTGGTCAACGTATAGTGGGTATTACTTTATCATATGTACAGTGTAAATCACACCATTTAATTAGGGTTTAATACCTTAACTGATTGCGTTAAATGAAATTTAATACTGATGTAGAAGTCTCGTTTTATGTTTGCACAACAAACCAATAAATTAAAGCACCGATATCGCAGTAACAACGGCGGTCTCTGTCGGAGACGCGACGTCCAGATATCTAGCCGACGGAGATAAACAAGCGACCTCACCCGGCGCCACTTCACCACTGTCGCTTTGTTGCACATTCACTATATTGTCCAACTAATCACAAAGAAAAAACTGTATCGCCTTTGCAACGAACCTTATCATGTCCCTTCTCCATAAGCACTTCAAGTTTGAAAATGTTTTCATTCGCATTCAATTATTTCCAATAATAACATTCTTCCAAGCATTTTATTAATAATTTTTCATTCAATCTTTGAACTCTCCTACACTTATTAATAACTTTACCGGACATAAAACAAAGAAACGTAATAATCAGATAATGTAAATATTGTGTTAAGTCATTTTTAATTCTCTTATGAATTATCTAATATTTATTGAATCTACGAAATGTTAGGGTGCGTTAAAAGCCCGCATAAAGAACTATGCGATTCGTTAACGTCTGCCATGATCAAGTCTTCAATTACGCAATATGACGAGGGGTCATATTAGATTAGGCTCCGTGTTGTGTTGATTAAACCGAACTTATTGCCTTATTCAGTTAAGCTCACCCACGCGCGTCACCGAATCTCCAAACAATACACCTTTGCGAACAGAACTGGATTTTTAATGTCTCACCTTAAAGGTCACTGTCTATTTAGTTAGATTAATACGTACAGCTATAAATAAATGACCATGACCACACTACCTAACATAACTAAACTAGCTTTCACCCCCGACGCCGTCCGCGTGGAATTAAAAAAACACAAAAGTAGCCTATGTGTTCTTCCAGACTAACCTCTACATCTATACCAAATTTCATCGAAGTCCGTTGAGCCGTTTAAGCTAACAAACATCCATCCATCCATCCATCCATCCGTCTAAAATTTCACACACATAATGTTAGTATGATTGTGTGGGTTGTGATAAATACATATTGCTCATCAGGTTCAGTAAATAGTTAACGTAATATAAAAAACACTTATCCTGAAAAAAATTCAGTTTAAGTAAAAATTTAAGCTTGCATGTCTTATTTTTATTCATTCTAAAGATAAATGGTATAATATCAAAAGAAAAATTAATAGACAAGATGTAAAAGTCTTTGCAAAGTTGACACTTTGAAAAACATGTTTCGCAATGATTACGTTATGAATTCGCCACGGGCTGTGTGGCGTGGTGTGGACGGTGCGGTGTAGTGTAGTGTTTTGTTAACAAGCCGGTGACTACACCACGGTCAACTGTTGCATGCCCGACTCTTATTACATGTTTCTTTCCGTTTATGCTGATAATGCTCTTACGGACAAATACTTACACGCTTATTACTGTTGTTGCTAGGTATGACGTCACTCGGCTAAAATAGATGACAATGTTAATTCTTGCATCATAAAATGATTTGATGAATGTTTGTTATTGAGAAAATAATTTTTTTTCATTTGATCAGACGTATAAATATAGTAATATTCTAAGCATTGGCACTCAGTATCTAAGTATGAACACTGTTTTCTTTGAAAATTCTTTGATTATTAATAGATTTTTTTCTTAGATTTGAGACGTCGGAGCGAGAGTGTGTGGGCTGGTACTAAATATAATTTGCGAATAATTGTAGAAGTTACTTCGAATAAAACTCGTTCAAAAATACCTTAACTTTAATAAATGTTTAATTTTAATAATCGCCAGGAAAATGTACAAATGGAAAAATTTAAACATTTGGAATTGTTACCTAATCAGAATCTTGCTTGCACTGTGTTTTCTATTGTTTGAAAATGTTGTGTAAAATATTATTTAAGGCTCAAATATTAGGCGAAAGTATTCTGCTATGGACGCAAACGCGGCCTAAATATACTTCGGCCACTGAAGTATAAATTGTTCCCAATTACTCCTACGGTGCATGAAGAACTTGCATATTACCGAAGTATTTTCTTGATATTCGACAACATTCTATGCAAAATAATTCTTATTTTTATTCTATAAATCGTTTAAAATCACATAGGAGATTTGTTTCTTTGTCACCGTTGGTAAATGCAATGTAATCAACAGGATCGCGTCACTTGAAAACTCGGATGCGACCCGCTCGCAGTGAAAACACGAAACTAACCGGGACCGGTAATAATCGATCGCAGAGGCTTTATTTAGCCGCCACACAGAGATAACCGTCTACCGGGCGGCTAGTTGCGAACGACTCGCCACGTTCAAAAGCTAGCTGATCTCGTGCCCACGTTTCCTGTTTTGGAGTACTTGCACAAGCTTTGAACTTTGCAGACAACCGATAGATGACTCTTACGCGTTATTTATTCATCACAAGCGCGACACGGACGTGTAGCGTTAAAAGTCAATCTATTGAAGCCGCACACGGCGCGTTATTCATTATTTATCTATGGCCAAATATAGCAAACCAACAAAAAAGGCTTAGGTATCGATCCGTAATTTTAACTAGATTTGAACGTTGTCTGATTATTTTTGTCGTGTTAAAGATTACAGCGATAGAGTTGAGAGCAAATAAAATGTGATCTGGCGAGGTCACCGCGCGCAGCGAGCTCGAGAATGTCTGCGAGGTAAGCCGACACCCGGTAGGTAGGTGAGCAGTAGACGCGACCGAGACGGCGGTGGCGGCAGCGGCCTGTTCGGATAACAGGCCGTGGTCGCGATACCCGACACGCACCGCACTCAGCACGCCTAATTAATCTACATATCTCATGCGAAAACCGTTATAATGAGCGAACTAGATATTTATTTATTGTTCATGAATTATGCAGACTAATTGCAACTCATAGGCAGTCATACACACCGGCTATTTCATTATCTTATTT